CCACTATTGTGCGTGGTGTTGTGGTGTGGTAGCCATGGTAACGCACCAATGAGTGGCAACCAGTGCCATGCTTGATAGCTATGACCTAGCTCGGACTGGTCACTAGAAAAGTAATTCGAGCCAGACATGTTATTTAATTTACATAATATTTTACACTGTTACACTAATATGTTACCTCTGTCTCATTCGTGTTTCTACCGTGAAGCAATTGTGTTTGCATGGCTGTGTTTCGGTTTAAAGAGTGGGATATGGCGTGAATTTACAGGGTACAGAGGAATAACACCTGAGTCCTCAGGAATGGCAACGCATGGGAGGTATCATTGGCGAAACAGTATACTTTGTTAAAGGCCATGGTACTGCTCATGTCTATAGGCGACGGTTACCACTTTCCATCAGGTGAGCCGTCAGCTTGTTTGCCATTCTAAGTTGTATAAAAAAAAAAAAACACTGGAGGAAGAGGATTGCTCGCAAATGAGTCTAATGGCCCCATTGTTAGTAAAGCTCCCTTACAGTTTGGCCTCATATTCAGTTTCTCTAGAAACCGTCGTAGTTGTTTTATCTAAATACATGGTTCAACTGACCTGAATTTATTCTCACTTATCTTCCCTCACTGATCTCACATGAAGGAAACCAAAAAAAAAAAAAATACAACCGAATTGAGAACTTTCTTCTTTTTGAAGTCGGTTGAAAAGGTAAGAAACCGGGTATTTTTTATTATTATTTCAGCCGTTAACTGTCCATTGCTGAACATAATCCTTCCCCATAAGGGGAGTTTTGCTAGTACTTGTCACGCTTGGCAGGGTTGGAAAACCCAGTTAGGCTTTTTGAGATGTTTTAAGAGGGACGCTGCTGCCCTCGCCCTCCCTTAGTCGCTCTTACGACACTCACGGAAAAGGTAAAGGTAGCCCATTTTATGCCGGAGTACTCACGGCCATACTTGGTATATTGTGGACTAATTATTATTTTAACAAACACTAACGGCCCGTCCTGGCTTCGCACGGGTGGACATTTTTACAAAGTGGTTATTGTGACATAACGATAATAGTTGGACATATAATATCTCGAGGTTTTTTGTAGTTATTGAATTTTTCTTTAATATTGTAAGACATACTTTTGTTCTATCACCAATAGTTTCCGCAGCGCACGCGACGAAAGATATTTTATAGCATTTTTTACATCTTAAGTTACGTTACTAAAGTCTTAGTAAGGATCCCTAATCTTTTCTAGCAATAAATATAGCCTATGTTACTCAGGGTGAATGTAGCTTTCTAATGATGAAAGAATTTTTGAAATCGGCAAAGTAGTTTTTGAGTTTATTCATTACAAACATACACATAAAAATACAAATCTTTCCTCTTTATAACATTAGTGTAGATAAACACTTCTGACCACGACTGTACGCTGTCCAAAACAGAACATTACTTTGTTAGAGCCCCGACAGGCACGAATACAATCATAAATTGGTTTTGAACTCTTCGCCCTTTCATAAGGGGTTCATTTAAGAATTTGTACTGCTAAGTAAACTAATTACTTACCATAATGACAAGCAAATACATTGTTTAAGCAAATTAAATTATCTCTTTTTTTGTTATAGTGTAGGGAACACAGTATTGTTAAGAGAGAGAGAGAAAAGAAAAAATGTGTGACGTCTATATATATTTTGTTATTTTTTTTTTCATAGTGAATTATATATTACCATGCAACAATTAATTACAGCACAAAGTTATTTAGTCTATGCTACTAATTTACAAGTAGATTGATTTATGACTAAAAAATATTAAATGCAACAAGGTAGGGATTGCTTCGCAAAAAGAAAAACGTTTTGCTTTAAATCCCATTATGATCGAAGGTATTATATATATAGAAATAGATAGAAAATATTTTAAAAATTTTATTTAAAAAAACTGAGTCGTGTATTTTCCGGAAATAAAAATAGTAGTTTCATCCATCTATAATTATAAAATTTATTTAATCAAACTACATAAGGTCCAATTTGTCAATTTATAAAAATTGACTTAACCTATGTTAGTAAATGAGCGGTCATGACGCTCTTGCATTGATAACCTGTCCCACCCGATATTTTAGGATGGGACAGTCTATTTTATCAGCAATTGTCTTCAGGACACTGTTTGAGCTAACACGCACCCTATCCAATAGCGAAACAATTTGTTTGCGCCGTATTGCGCAAAAATTATCCGTACGCTCTCGTGCAAACACATGTGACGCACTACAGTGACGAGGTAGCCCCAACAGTGCCCCGAAGGCATTTTTTTTTTGTTGGGTGAAAATGGTTTGGTGACTCCGCCTGCGCTAACGGGATACGCTGGCGGAGCACCAGTGAAGGGTGATAGACGAGAATGAAAACAGGCCAGTTAGCCCATCATGATGAATTCATCAGGAATTAACCATGATAATTTCCAGGGGGAACCGCGAGGAGGTCGACCTGGTTGGGTATATTGCTAGCAATGGGATTCTCAGTCTCCATTACTAACAATCCCTTTCCCCCGAAGGCATTATTATATTGGACTCGAAGAGCATTGTAAGTTTTTTTATTATAGTTGATTCACAAGCTACTCGTGGTGAACACCTGACAAAAAGCTTTAAACAGGGTTATTTTTACTTGTTTTGTACACCTAGCAAACCTGCGGGCCAACATGTTACTTCTAACTGCCAATGCTTTTATTTCGCATTCTATGTCCAGGTCTGGTACTTGCAATAATGTGACCGAGATATTTAAAATCAAAATTTATTCTGTTATGTAATAATCGCCCACATTACAAGTTAAAATAGGTGGTAAATATATTATTTCTGAGATTTTTTTTCTACGTAACCTGGTGATGAAAACGAAACTCTAGGTTTTTTTTAGGATGTTAGGATGATATTGGAATGGTAACTCCGCCTGCGCTAATAGTACACGCTGGTGGGGCACCCATGAGAAATGATAGGTGATAATGAAAGGGCAAGTCAGTTAGCCCATCGTGATGAATACACCTTGAATTCAGCATGATGGTTTCCAGTAGGATCACATGGAGGTCGACTTGATAGGATATATTACCAGAGGGAGACTTTGTACGAAAGTCGATTGCTTGGGTACCTCTGTCCCATTCGTGTTTCTACCGTGAAGCAGGTGTGTTTGCATGGCTGTGTTTCGGTTTTTTAAAAGCTAATTTTTATTTTTAATTTGGTCCTACAGTGACACAAAATTCACAGGGTGTGGGGTTTACACGCCCTTGTGCCAGTTTTTTGTTAATATGTATTATATTTTTGTTATGAACTGATGTGGTTTCGACACGCTCTTTATACTTGACTATTAATAATTTACATGTATTTTTTAGGCATAAAATAGTAACTTTGCTTGTGCTATTGGTGTGTGCTGGCGAGCTAGATCATCATGGAAGAATCATCGTCATCATCATTATATCAGTTGATCATAGGCCTCCCCCATAAGAAAGGTTTTTGCTAGTAATTGCCACACTTGTCAGAAATTTGGGAAGTAATAGGTGATAATGAAGTCAGTAATAAAGTAAATAAAAAATAGTGATAATGAAGTAAGGAGTAAATAGGCTGAATATCATATTATTTTTTTAATGGCTGAAAATTAAGTAACGACTCTGCCTGGGGTATACATTGGCAAAACAATAGTGAGGTATAATAGGCGAGGATGAACAGGTCAGTTGGTCCGACGTGTCGAATTCAACAATAATTAACCCCAACGGTTTCTAGAGTGCTTTGCGTGGAGAGCGAGGCTATATTGCTAGCAGTGGGGCTGTTAAACCCCAAAATATTATCCTGAATATTATCAAAATATCATAAAGAGAAAACCGTGATGTGGAAATAAGCAACATAGTTCTTATTTTTATCCACGTGCTGTATTTAATAGTGGGGTGGATACTGATCTACACTAATATTATAAAGAAGAAAAATTTGTATTTTTGTGCGTATGTATGTTTGTAATTCTTTCACTATTAGAAAGCTACATTCATCCTGAATAACATAGGCTATATTTATTGCTAGAAAAGATTAGGGGTCCTTACTAAAACTTTAGTAATGTAACTCGAGGTGTAAAAAAAATGCTATAAAATATCTTTCGTCGCGTGCGCTGCGGAAACTATTGGTGATAGAACAAAAGTATGTTCTACAATATTGAAGAAAATATATTGATATTAATATATTTAATATATTAGATAAAGAGAGCAAAACACTGACATTCTGTTGTGTATTGACACAACAGAATGTCAGTGTTTTGCTCTCTTAAGGGCAAAGCAATGTGACCATTTTGTGTTACTGTAGCGCATTCACGAGAAAATGTGTAACCTCTTTTATGTACTTTTTTTTTGTTTTTTTTATATGTTTTGTTTTTTTTAAGTACTTACGAATAGCTAATGTTATAAGTGCTAAATAAGTGATGTAAATAAAGTATTACCAGAGGGAGACTTTGTACAAAAGTCGATTGCTTGCGTACCTCTGTCCGCGTGTTTCTACTGTGAAGCAGTTATGTTTGCATGGCTGTGTTTCGGTTTGGAGCCTGGGATATGGCGTAAATTTACAGGGTACAGAGGAATAACACCGGAGTCTTCAGTAATGGCAACGCATGGGGGGTATCATGGGCGAAACAGTATACTCTGTTATGTCCATGGTACTGCTCATGTCTATAGGTGATGGTTATCACTTTTCATCAGGTGAGCCGTCAGCTTGTTTGCCACTCTAAGTTGTATAAAAAATCTATCTGTCTATATGCATGTATGTATACAAATTTTCCCTTTTCCTCATATGTATAAAACTCAACTGTAAAATAATATACGTTAGTGGCTTCTTATAATGATTATTATCAATAACTTTCTTATCAAATCATATTAATATATTAAAACTTGTATGTCACATAGCTGAAATATCTCTACGCCATTCGACGCCCATTGAATACTATCCACTATTATATTGTACAAACGGTGCGTTGAAGCATTCGGCCGTGGTCGCTTTGTTAACTTGGTATACATATGCAGGACTGTCGGATGTATCGCTCATTGCTGGCCAGACTCCGAACAGCTGGACAGACATGGGGACACTTGAGTCGGCTCAGGGTAAGTCTAGATGTCTTTTAACCCTTCTTTGAATGATTTTTTTTATTGGTGAAATAAATCAAAGTGATATAATTCATGTTCAAACTTAAAGGAAAAATGGTTAAGAAATGAAATTTGACAGCTATGTTTTTTTTTCTGCAATGGACATTAAAAAGGTATCCAGACACGATCAACTTAAAGTGAACTTGTTCTTTTATATAATTTTTGGGCATTCAATGTTATGATGAAAATTTCCACCAGTATACAAAGAAGGCTTAAAATAATAAACTTTTTCCAGTACTTATAAAATTCTCAATTTATTATACCGATTAAATAGAATGTTGTTAAACGCCGTTTAGATAGGCTGTGTTTTGAATTATTTTTAGTGAAACTGCAATGTTTAATAAATCTGTTATGAATATTGAAATTATTTATCTTCTTATTTTGAGGTAAATTTTTAATGTTATATATATATATATATATATATATATATATATATATATATATATATATATATATATATATATATATATATATATATATATATATATATATATATATATATATATATATATATATATATATATTAAAAATTGACTAAAGGCCAAAATATTATATATATATATATATAATATTTTGGCCTTTTCTACCCATGTTCCTTAACAATAAAACTAAGTATACTTGTAGCGATGTCAGGGAAATTTATTTCATATACTATATAATTATTATTGCTGTTATTCCATATTTGCTTAATTATACAATAATATTATACCTACTTGTATTACAATTAGTCGTTTACCCTAAGGTTGTCTTGAGAAAATCGCTTTCAGCATGAAGTCCGCCTTACTGTACTTATACCGTATCATTTATTAATTGTCTTGCGTCTATATTGTATAATGTTAGCAAAATTAAAATAAATTAAATTAAAATACACTCATTATTCATATTACGTAATTATTTTACAATATTATTCGTGCTTTGTAGGACATATAAAAGGCACATTTGAGTTTAGAATTAAATAAATCTGTACATATTATATTAATTACGTGTTTTTTTTTATGAGTGAAAATGGTATGGTAACCCCGCCTGCGCTAACGGGATACGCTGGCGGAGCACCAGTGAAGGGTGATAGATGAGAATGAAAACAGACCAGTTAGTCCATCATGATGAATTCATCAGGAACTAACCATGATAGTTTCCAGGGAGAACCGCGAGGAGGTCGACCTGGTTGGGTATATTGCTAGCAATGGGATTCTCAGTCTCTATTATTAACAATCCCTTTCCCCCTTAATTATGTTGTTTGATGCTTTTGTACAACGTAGAAATATGGTTACATACTTAGATGGCGCCTTTTTTAAAATTCACAACTGATTCTATACAGAGCTTTATTAAAATCGTAATCATCATAAAACTTACCTCCTCAATCATAAAAACTACTAGTAAAATGTCCAACAAACCTATTTTAACTGTTACAGTATTTTGTTACTGTCTATCAAATTGAGAAATTAACGCAAAAGAAAAGGATAGATAGATAGGATACACTTCAATAGCGAAAAATATGTTTATAAGAAGTTTGACATTTTTATTAATAAGGAGGTAACAGTTTACTCATGCTATAGAATATGTTGGAACAGAAATTTCCTAAACCTAAATTTCAAAATCGAAACTTTTTTTTAATTTGATCTTCCTATATTAATTTAACAGCCGAAGCTCTTTTTAGTTAGGTTAGCATGGAGACTCAAAATGTTTTTTTTTTTCGTTTCTTGACCCGTGTTTCTATAACGTACATGTTCAGTTAAACGGGAGAAATACTCACTTAAAATACTGCTGAAAAATCCGAATTCATTTTGTGTAATTTGTACAGAGGAAGGTCCAACGGTGGTTAAAAGTAATGGTGCCGCGCAAGAAGAAGCCACACCTAAAAGCCACTTCGGAGTTCTTCATATAGGTAGCTTGAACATGAAGTCCAAGTCATGTTACGACAAATGTTTGGAGTTAACGTTTGTGATGCTGGGCGTCGTTACTATTGTGAGTATTACTCAGATAAAGATTGGTGCCAACTTTTAAACCTCACATATGACCAATAATCTAATGACGTCCGTGAATCAGAGGGAGACTTTGTACAAAAGTCGATTGCTTGGGTACCTCTGTCCCATTCGTGTAGATATTTTTTTAATACAACTTAGAATGGCAAACAAGTTGACGGCCTACCTGATGGAAAGTGATAACCGTCGCCTATAGACATAAGCAGTACCATGGACATAACAGAGTATATTGTTTCGCCCATGATACCCCCCATGCGTTGCCATTCCTGAGGACTCAGATGTTATTCCACTGTACCCTGTAAATTCATGCCATTCACGCCCTTCAATCCGAAACACAGCCATGCAAACACAACTACTTCACGGTAGAAACACGAATGGGACAGAGGTGCCCAAGCAATCGACTTTTGTACAAAGTCTCCCTCTGGTAAATCTGGTAATAGTAGTATTAGTAGTAGCTAGTTTAACAATTTGTCAGCAAGGGAGGCTTATTTATGTTTCCTCTGTCTGTTAGAATGCTGGTCGTAAAAAATATATATAAAAAAAAATAGAGAGAAGTCATTAGTTAGTTCCTTTTGTTTTCTAAACTTGAATGATTTTTAAATAATTTTATATATAGATTAAGACAATTTTTTTGCTATTTTATTATCTAAAAATCTCTTACATTCCTCAGTTCAAATGCTTCGGAGTGATCGTAGTGACAATATCGACCGCCATCGCGACCAAGTTGTACAGCAGCCAGCAATCAGGGCGGCTGGTCGCCATGATTACGGTGGCGGTGACGGCCGCCATTGCTTTGTCGGTGGTCATTTACGCCATCGTCGGGGTCTTTAGGAAGTACAAGAAGCCACTGCATGCGGTGAGTTGAGATTTCTAAATAATTTTGAAATCACAACGGAATTACTCCACAAGTCTTTAACTTCATCAGGGTTTTTTTATACAACTTAGAGTGGCAAACAAGCTGACGGTCCACCTGATGGAAAGTGGTAACCGTCGCCTATAGACATGAGCAGTAGCGTGGACATAACAGAGTATACTGTCTCGCCCATGATACCCCCCATGCGTTGCCATTCCTGAGGACTCAGGTGTTATTCCTCTGTGCCCAGTAATTTCACGCCATATCCCACCTTCAAACCGAAACACAGCCATATAAACACAGCTGCTTCACGGTAGAAACACGAATGGGATAGACGTATCCAAGCAATCGACTTTTGTACAAAGTCTCCGCGAGCTTATACAATATTCTCTTTTAAAAGAACAAGTTTTAAATTAGTCTATATTTGTGTTTCATCATTTCAGCCATTATCCGTCCACTGCTGGACATAAACCTCCCCCATAGACTGCCATAAGGAACGGTCCTGAGCCACCTGCATCCACTGACTCCCTGCAACCTATTTCAGGTCGTCACTCCATCTAGTTGGGGGTCGTCCTACACTGCGTTTACACGTACGCAGTCGCCACTCAACAAAAAAATGCTATTAATTTAAATCAAATTTGCATTAAGTTCTATCAAAGTGTATTATAATGAACATTGAATGTCTGAAAGGACGACAAAAGCTTACAAATTCGAAATTTAAATTCAATTATCTCTGAGATAAAACGTCATTGGTCATATTATTATTATTATTTCTCAAACTCGCTTAGAGATATTTTGACTATCTTCTTCGAGATAAATCAAAACAGCTGTACTGGCCAGATACATGCGGGCAGCGGCCGGCAAAAGTTGTATGGAAATCCATATCTGTCGTGTGAAGAAAAGTACTATACAAGCCTTGGCCACAACTAGGCATTGATGGACTTACGTATGTGTGCCTCGGCTACGCCTCGTCCCACATTTGCACGTTCGTCTATCAATGCCTCAGTTGCTGGCCGCTGCAGTAATGTACTATATTGATAAATCATCTGTATCTTTGTCTTTAAGTGTTATATGAAATAAAACTACGTTCCATATATAAAATTAAGTGATGACTTAATAAATACTTATAAATTATTGCAGTAAAGGAAGACATAAACGATTACAATACATATTAAAATTTAAAAACAATCACTCATAAACTAGGTTTTGTGAAATAAAGTCGGTTATAAACATTTAGTGTGGTTGCAAGTTATTATGTGTCTACTTAGTACCTACTTAATGTGCTACCTACAAAGAGAGCCTGCATAAACAACGTATTTAAAAATCCAAGTAACCACGCGATAATGCGTTAAAAAAAGATTATATGTAGTATATATCAAATTTTCAATATAACTTCATGAAAAAATAAGTAATGTTTTTTTAAATTATCATACAAATACTCTCTAAATGATATTTGGATTGAGATCGATGTTGGATTCAAGAGTTATCCTACTGTTTGTTCGTTTGTTTATTGATTATTAATATAATTTAATTGCTTTCTATTTGTATATAATTATTATTTTCTTTTGTTTGTGTTGTTTTATTTCTTTTGTTCTTGTTTTGTACGCTACTGTGTGGGCCGCATGCTTCTTCGATTAAATTATTTCTTTCTTTAAAAAAAAAAAAAATATTAGTGACAAATCGAAAACTTCAAGCAATTAATCGATTTTCAACCGACTTAAAAAAAGAATAAGGTTTTAAATTCGATTGTGTTTTTTTTATTATGTTTCCTGCTTTATAACTCCGTTATTTGTAAAATGATTTGGAAAAATCTTTTTTTTTTTATCTGAAACGGTATATTTACAGATTGGTCCAGTTTTTTTTTGATGGGTGAAAATGGAATGGTAACCCCGCCTGCGCTAATGGGATACACTGGCAGAGCACCAGTGAAGGATGATAGATGGGAATGAAAACAGGCCAGTTAGCCCATCATGATGAATTCATGAGGAATTAACCATGATAGTTTTCAGGGAGAACCGCGAGAAGGACCTGGTTGGGTATATTGCTAGCAATGGGATTCTCAATCTCCATTACTAACACTACTGATGGAAAGTGGTAACCGTCGCCTATAGACATGAGCAGTACCATAGATATAACAGAGTATACTGTTTCGCCCATGATACCCCCCATGCGTTGCCATTCCTGAGGACAGAGGTACCCAAGCAATCGACTTTTGTACAAAGTCTCCCTCTGGTAAATCAATTATTCGTTCCGCTGTCTTCAATTGGTCAAAGTAAAGCTCTCTATACAATATCTTTATTTATTTGCCACTGGATCACACTTGGTAATCGAAAGCCAAGGTTGTTCACCATTAGCCTTGCGACTACCAAGTACTAATATATTCAGGTTCAAAGTAATGCTGAGAAGCGACGGCGGCGGCGTTGGCATATCACGCGAGCACGAAACATTTAATCGAGTACAAAGCTTATAGGGAAATTAGACAAAGCGCTGTAAGGGTTGCTCTCGAATTAATTCCGACCGATCGATGCTCGTATTAGAGTTTAGAATAGTGATGTTTTATAATAAATGCAACATTAGCGACAGGAAAGGGATTGTTCGCAATGAAGTCTAACAGACACATTCAAATTTAAATGCACTTTTTTATCAAGACAGGGTCCAGGAAGTTGTTATCTGTTGAGAAGAGGCCGCGAGAAACTCAACAGTTACTCTTTTAAATCTCTATTAACTATATTGCTAGCAATATCTCCTACCAGGTTCATATACCAGAGGAAGATTTTGTACAAAAGTAGTTTACTTGGACACGTTTGTCCCATTCGTGTTTCTACCGTGAAGCAGTTGTGTTTGCATGGTTGTGTTTAGGTTTGATGGGTGGGATATGGCATGAATTTACAGGGTACAGAGGAATAACACCTGAGTCCTCAGGAATGGCAACGCATGGAGGGTATCATGGGCGAAACAGTATACTCTATTATGTCCATGGTACTGCTCATGTCTATAGACGACGGTTACCACTTTCGATCAGGTGGGCCGTCAGCTTGTTTGCCATTCTAAGTTGTATAAAAAAATCCAATATATCATATAGAAAACATGACCCCGCTCGTAATGACAATGACATATCCAACTCGAATGGGTGATATCGCAATGAATGGTCATCAATCTTCAGAAGGAATACGACCGTGTGGTCTCAGCATCGAATAGGCCACCCTTTCCTTTCCGTGGATGTCGTAAGAGGCGACTAAGGGAGGGCGAGGGATGAGCAGTAGCGTCCCTCTTAAAACGTCTCTAAAGCTCAACTCCGGTTGCCAACCCACCTGCCAAGCATGGCAACTACTGGCAAAACCTATCAAGGGGGAGGCTTATTCTCAGCAGTGGATAGTTAAAGGCATATATGATGATGAATACATATCATACATAAATACAATATACTACATAGTATAAATCAAAGTCGCTGTCGCCGTCTGTCCGTCCCTATGTATGCTTAAATCTTTAAAACTACACAACGGAATTTGAAGCGGTTTTTTAATAGATAGAATGATTCAAGAGGAAGGTTTATATGTAGAATACATGCATAATATAGTAGAGAAACACTGAAAATTTTAGAGGTTTCTAATGTGATGTGATGTAATGTGCACCCGGGTGGAGCCGGGGCGGGTCGCTAGTATGGATATAATGAATGACATATTATTTCGCAGACCACTATAGTTCTCACGATACTCGCGATTCTGCAAGCGATCATCAGCGGTGTGTCAGTGATGGTGACGACAGAGGATGAGCAGGTCTTGGACGGGTCTCTCTCCGAGTCGTTTCAACTTGCTATGGAGGACAATCCGAAACATATGAAACTGTGGGACACCACTCACCACGACGTAAGCACCTATCATGTAATCGAATTTTGGCGTTTTTCACCGACTCCAAATAAAGTTCTCAATTCGGTTGTATCTTTGTATGTCACCTTAAAACTCCGCCAATAGGTGGAGGCCTATGGTCAGCCGTGGGTAGTTAACGGCTGACAGAATGATGATTATTAGTAGGTATGTAGTTTTTACCAGAAGGAGACTTTGTACAAAAGTCGATTGCTTGGCTCGTGAAGCAATTGTGTTTGCATGGCTGTATTTCGGTTTGAAGGGTGGGATATGGCGTGAATTTACTGGGTACAGAGGAATAACAACTGAGTCCTCAGGAATGGCAACGCATGGGGGGTATCATGGGCGAAACAGTGTACTCTGTTATGTCCATGGTACTGCTCATGTCTATCGGCGACGGTTACCGCTTTCCATCAGGTGGGTCGTCAGCTTGTTTGTTATTCTAAGTTGTATATAAAAAAAAAAAAACAAATAAAATCAGTTCCATTATGCATGAAAATGGATTGAGCAAGTCAAAGATTTCGTGTTGGTATCAAAAAATCCTATTAGGTATTATTATTATAAACACAACATTTTGTGAAGATGGATGTACGTTCTTCAAGAAAAACTATTGAAGAAATTTGAATTAGACTCGGTTCACGGATAAGTTATATCCCAACTTAACATTTTTGTATGTAATTTAGAATGGCAATAAAGCTTAATTGTCAGGTGACAATTTGATGAAACGTGGTAACAATCGGGTGTAGGGGAAATGGATTGTTAGTTATGAGGTCTTATAACTCCATTGCTAGCAATATATACTCAGGTCGGTCTCCATGCGGTTTCCCCTGGAAACCATCGTGGTTAATTGATATGAAGTTCATCACGATGGTCTAACTGATCTGTTTTCAACCTCATCTAGCACCTCTCACTGGTGTTCCACCAGAGTATACCAATAACGTAGGCGGAGTTACCATTACGCCACTTACGGTCAAATTGTGATCAAACGCGATCAAATTTAATATAAAATAAAAACAATACCGTGTTACATATATTATGTTTGGCACAGTGAAGTTTAAGGTATAGTTTTTTTTGTTTATTTCAGCTTAAATGCTGCGGTCTATACGGCGCACAGGATTATAGAACAGTGCAGGCGAGTTTCTTACCACCGGAGGTGCCAATCTCCTGCTGCCCCACATATGACCCCACCAGATCCGAGCTGGTACAAGAGAGAGAACGGGAGATCTGCAAAGCTCGAAGAAGTTACTACACAACCGGCTGTAGACAACCTGTTTTGGACATGTTTAGGGAAACGTCTACAGTCGTTTTGATCGTCGTCGTAATACTTATCGTACTTGAGGTAGGTACTACTATTATTCGTGTGCAGGTGGCGCCCTCTGGTAGTAAGAGTTTACTGCCATCTTTTTATATGAGAATAAGACCACACCCCAACTTAGCAGAGGAAAGCGTTTAGATCTAGTGACCCGGGGGTAGTTGCCCCCGGAGTTACAATAGGGCAAAGAGGTTCCCCCAGAGGCCTCCACCTAACCTTCCCATTAGGAATATCAGAAGACATGAGGACTTATGACGGAGGGGAAAGGAAAGAAAAAAAATACCCTATCAGGTCGACCTCCACGTGATCCCCTCTAGATCGTCGTGTTAAATTTCAGGTGTATTCACAATGGGCTAACTGACCTGCCTTTTCATTCTCACTTACCATCTCTCACTGGTGGCCCCGCCAATGTACACTGATAGCGCGGGCGGGGTTACCATTCCATGGTACTGCTCATGTCTATAGGCGACGGTTACCACTTTCCATTAGGTGGGCCGTCAGCTTGTTTGCCATTCTAAGTTGTATAAAAAAAAAAACATTTATTGCGTAATTTTGTAAAAAAATTGTAGTGAAGCTTCTGTTCATTCCTCCATTATTCGCAAACTCCCTTAGTCGCCTCTTATAACACGCACGGATAAATAAGAGTTGCCCTATTCTATGCCGAGATGTATAGGATACAAGAGGTAAACAGAGTAAATAAATATTAATTTATTTTCTTTTTCAGATTATTCTAGCAATATTAGGAGGAATGTTATACAAAAAACAAAAGGAAAGGAGCCGAAGAAATGCTGACAATATCGAAGAACCGGCACCGAACACTTGATTTCGAGAAAGATCTTATGTACCTACCGTAAAGAAATTGTTGATGTCTGAATTTTTAAAAATGTTATAGCTTACCTATAAACTTACAAAACAATATAAAAGAAAAGGGTCAAGTGTCCGCATAATTTTTTTTTGTTGTATAAAATGAAATAGGTTGTTTTCAAATTAAATGAAAATCTTATAAATATGGACTTTAGGTTGGTGCAACTAATTAAGATTGTTTTTGGTAATATTAATAAATTATTGTAAATTATCGGTATGGTAACTTGTTACCCATTTAATTGAACAAAGTAAAATTAAATCCTTACTTGTTATATATAATAATGATTAAACCAAAATCACAACGAATTAAATAACATCTATCTATTTTTAATTAAAATAATTTGATAAATAAATTGAAATTAGACATTTATGAATGAAGTAGATATAGTTGGCGCCACTAGCGCAAAAACTAGTTAGTTTGAAGCATGGGATTTGAACAAAAAAGTGACACTTATATTTTAGTATGTATATTGAGTAATAAAAAGATACTATAGTATTATATTTAAATGTAAATCTAATTAAGCTAACAAATAATGTAATTAAATTAATATTTGACAATTGAGATCGTAGCAAGTGCAGCGCCAACTAGTGATAATCAACTGAATCTCCGTTGTAAATTTTTATCATAAGATCTAAGCGTGTGTTATACACGCTAAAGATTTTATCTTGATTGATGTTATTAAATATGCCTAATTGCCTAATTAAAGAATTGATATTATTTTTAATTCGATTAATAAAAATGATGAGACTGGCATTAGTTTTTTTAATCATTATTTTAGAGCCATCTATTAAACTTTTATGATACTATAATAAAATTTAGTTACTGCTATTCGCCACTTATAGTTATACACATAAATTAATAGATGGCGCTGTTTATATTTTATTTTAAAACCCCTATACATAATAAATTTCTAAAATTAATATCTTTGAATTTATACTGACAAAATGTAATACACACTTTGTTTTTCCATATGTTTTTTTAGTAATGTGTCTTTCATATTTACTGGTTTATATTCGAATATTACATGATACAGTATAGAGTGCCTATATTTTATGGTTTAGTATGATTTATTTTAAGAATCAATCGTATTATAAAGATTTAATATTTGTAGTAGTCATTACAATAGTATTAAAACAAATTTTATTACTATTAGACAAAAATGTCTTAATTCTCTTGTAATTATTAATTTTAACATATTTTACAGTCGCATCGATGGTTCAGTGGTAGAATGCTCGCCTGCCACGCGGGCGGCCCGGGTTCGATTCCCGGTCGATGCATTCTTTTTCTCGACATGCAATTTACTATTTTTTTCTTTTTATTGCTAATTATAACAACATAGTTTCAGATAAGAAATAATTGACTTTAGCAATAACTTCTTAATTACACCATGAGTAAAATGTTTTATACTCATTAGAATGAAAATGTTAATATTGTTCAATATTTTCGTTCTATTTATTCACAATATTAATTCAGGTACGTATTTTGTATTTATAATATAAAAAATTGTTAATAATGATTTCTCTTGAAAATGCTTCATAATAAACTCACTAGTAGAAGGTGAAGGTAGATCAGCTGTCTATGTAGGTATGGTTTCCTGGGGGACCGCGTGGAGGTCGACTTACTAGATATAGCCAGCAGTGAGACCGCTTATCCTAATCAGTAACTTACAAGATGTTACTAGATATTTCTTACACATTTTGTATAATTATTTTAATGAGATAACAATTATGTTTTTCACACATATTTTTCACCACACCTGCCCTTCTTACGCTTTCTGTGTTTACCTAATAGTTAGCTAATAGACAATGCCATATGGCATTAAGCTCGCCACTTGTACAAAGTTTTATTGTGCAATAAAGAATAAATAAATAAATAACAATCCCGAGGACAAAACTGTAGTAACTATATAGTTTTAAATATGCCATTACAGTGCCCCCAGATTACTGTCTCCACTCTATCAACGTCAGCGACTGCAGCAGCCCACCGAAACCTGTCTACTACTATTACAAGCCGGGTTCCCGCTGCGAGATCACCTTCTGGCGAGGATGCTTCACATACAACAAGTTCGACACCGAGTACGCCTGTTCACACACTTGTATCGGCCGGTTTGGATCGTACAATGATTCGGATGAGAATACTATAGTTTCCGACTATGTTTGGTACAGCGGAGTCTTTACCACTGAAAGTATGTATTACTATAATAGGCATGGATCAAGGGAGGAAAGGGATTATTAGCAATGGAGTTTGACAGCCTCATTGCTAGCAATATGCCCTATTAGGTCGACCTCCACGTGGTTCCCCCTGGAAACCATCGTGAACAATTCTTGTTGAATTCGTCACGATGGGCTAACTGACCTGCTTCATCCTCACCTATCATCCTTCACTGGTGCTCCGCCGGTGTATACCGATAGCGCGGGTGGAGTTGCCATTCCATTGTCATCTATTAAAAAAAAATTGGTATGGATAATCTCGGTATCACTCTTATATCTATACACTTTTTTATGTATTTTCCATTATTTTTGTATAAGTATTCCAAAATCTCTTTTTTTGTGTATCACTATCTAAGCCCGTTGTTTTTTGTGTGCTGTATATAATGCAAAGAAATTATATATCTATCTATGTGCATCAACATACTGACAGACAAATAGGTAAAATTTCTAAAGAATTTTTTTCTCTATTAGTGTCAAAACGAATCCAATAAACAGTAGTTAACGGGGGGAAAGGGATTGTTAGTAATGGAGACTGAGAATCCCATTGCTAGCAATATACCCAACCAGGTCGACTTCCTCGCGGTTCACCCTGGAAACTATCATGGTTAATTCCTGATGAATTCATCATGCTGGGCTAACTGGTATGTTTTCATTCTCATCTATCACCCTTCACTGGTGCTCCGCCAGCGTATCCCGTTAGCACCCGTTAACCCTGCCTGGGTTACCATACCATTATAACCCATAAAAAAAAAACAGTAGTTAACGTAACCCGGGATGGGTTTTAAAACGATTATTAATATTCATTAACAGGGTTTCTAAACTTCTTTTCGACGATATGCGCTGTCTTGTTCTTTCTAATTCGAGCGCTATCCAAATCTATTCTACCAATAGATTCGTTTCCCACTTAAGAAGTTTGCTTTGTAATGAAAATATTATGGATAGATGTTTAGTGATATCACTTACTAGAAATGGATAACTTAGCCGGTGTAGAAGAGCCACCCGTTCCTTTCCCGTGGAAGTTGTTACCAACTAACCTAAATCGAAGAGGCTACCAAGGGACTTAACAGTCGAGAGCTTGATAGCACATTTGATTGATTGATTGATTGACCTGTTAAAACATCATTAAAAATCCAACTGCGTTTGCTAATCCGCCTGCAAAACGTGGCAACTACCAGCCCCCCCCCCTTCTGAAGAGGCCTATGTTTTTTTTTAATGGATGATAATGGAATGGTAACCCCGCCTGCGCTATCGGTATACACTGGCGGGATACCAGTGAGGGATGGTTGGTGAGGATGAAAAGGCAGGTCAGTTGGCCCATCGTGACGATAAGCGATAAATTAGTCACGATGGTTTCCAGGGGAACCACGTGAAAGTCGACCTGATGGGGTACATTGATAGAAATGGGGACTAATCTCCCCATTACTAACAATCCCTTCTCCCCAGAGGCCTATCTTGTGAGTTGACAGTCAACGGTTGATACGATGGTGATGATGATATTTTTTATGGAATGCAAATGAATTGGTAACCCCACCTACGCTATCAATGTACACTGACGTGGTACTAGTAAAGGGTGATATGTGAAATCAAAGTTTTTTTTTTTATGCAACTTAGAATGGAAATCAAGCTGATGGTCCACCTGATGGAAAGTGGTAACCATCGCTTATAGACATGTGCAGTACCATGGACATAACAGAGTATACTGTTTCGTCCATGATACCCCCCATGCGTTGCCGTTCCTGAGAACTCAGGTGTTATTCCTCTGTACCCAGTAATTTCACGCCATATCCCACCCTTCAAACCGAAACACAGCCATGCAAACACAGCTGCTTCGCGGTTGAAACATGAATGGAACAGAGGTACCCAAGCAATCGACTTTTGTACAAAGTCTCCCTCTGGTAAAGTCAGATCAATTGTGCCCATCGTGATGTATTCACCTGAAATTAATCACGATAGTTTCCACGCAGAGGACTCTTCTGTGTGAAGGTCATCCTGTTACCCTATCAGGTTGTCACTTTACCAGCAATAGGGTATAATTTTTTCATGCGTGCCAATGGAATGGTAACCTCCAGCACCCGCAGGAGAAAAATGATTGGTGTCTAATGGGATCTAACAACCCCGCTGCTAGCAATATACACTAACAAGTCGACCTACACGCGGTTCAAGCTGGAAACCATCGTGGTTGATTTTTATGGAATTCGTCACGATGGGCTAGTTGATCTGTTTTCATCCTCACCCATCATCTCTCACTGGTGCCCCACCAGCGTATACCGATAACGCAAGCGAAGTATCCATTCCATTCTGACGTATTAAAAAATATTTCGTCCGCAAAGATATACGCCAGCAGGAAGGGTGAGAGATGTGGATGAACATCTGGAATTCAGCACGGTTTCCAGGAGGGGATGCGGGAAGGTCGACGTGAAAGGATATATTGCCAATAATGGGACTGATGATCTCCATTCCTAACAATTCCTACCTTCCCAATATGGTGAATATAGTTCCCCCTAACAATGCCCTTCACCCCCGAATGATGTCAAGTTTCCGAGCCTTAAACATTAAATAGGTTAATGAATATTCAGGCATTAGTGTTCGGCCTCACATTACTCGATCTTTCGTCATTGGGGCTAAAGTAGGGGACCCTGATAAAATCATTGGGTTACAGTAACGTTAACAATCACGAGTCGCCTTGAAAACTGTTTTTAAGTAACCGAATTAAATTTAAATTCGTACTTGTAATAGATTCTTTTATTCTTCAAATATTCTATTGTATGGGACGTAATACTCGCAGTTTGAAATATGAGATGTTATGTCGATTATATTAAAATATGGTGGTAGAACACCATGGTCCTTGATCCTTAAGAATGAGGAATGTTCTCCGATGTATATGGTGTTTATGTCTATAGGCGGCGGGCATGATTTTTCTTCAGGTAAGCCATCTCCTATTGAGGGGGGGATTTATTAGTAATGCGGACTACCAGCCCCATTTCTAGCAATATACCTTGCCTCCCTGAAAACCATCGTGCTGAATCCCAGGTATATTCATCACGATGGGCTAACTGATCTGCCTTTTTATTCCCATCTGTCATCTCTCAGTGGTATCTTGCCAGCGTATACCGTTAGCACGGGCAAAGTTGTCATTCCATTATCATTCATTAAAAAAACCCTAGAAGGGACTTCGTTTACCATTTTAAATCTTGAAAAAATTACAATAAACGCAGTTATTCGGATCGATAAATAGATGATTTTAATAAATGTATTCTTAGTTACCATGAATCTAATAGCTTTTTTTTTATACCACTCAGAATGGCAAATAAGCTGACGGCCCACCTGATGGAAAGTGGTAACCATCGCCTATAGACATGAGCAGTACCATGGACATAACAGAGTATACTGTTTCGCCATGATACCCCCCATGTGTTGCCATTTCTGAGGACTCAGGTGTTATTCCTCTGTACCCAGTAAATTCACGCCATATCCCAACTCTTCAAACCGAAACACAGTCATGCAAACACAACTGCTTCACGGTAGAAACACGAACGGGACCGAGGTGCCCAAGCAATCGACTTTTGTACAAAGTCTCCCTCTTGATACATGAGAATGAAAACAGGCCAGTTAGCCCATCATGATGAATTCATCAGAAATTAACCATGATAGTTTCCAGGGAGAACCGCGAGGAGGTCAAGTTGGTTGGGTATATTGCTAGCAATAGGATTCTCAGTCTCCATTACTAACAATCCCTTTCCCCCCTCTCTTGGGTATTAATATTACGAACAAGGTTTTAAAAATACGTGAAAAGTTATGTATATTTGTTATTTCTAAATTTTTTAATTAATGTTTGATTAACTAAATAATTAAATAAATAGATGTTTTCAATTCACGTGGGCAGAACCGTAGCATACAATTAGCACGAAATGCATCCTATTGTCATGGCAGTGGTCATTTACCTCCCTAAAATTGACCTCAATTTTTGTTATACTCATATAACTGATTACTGCCTGCGACTCCGTTCGTGTGGATTTTGAATTAGTCAAAATTACCACTTTGGGGGTAACGGGATTGTTAGTAATGGAGACTGAGAATCCTATTGCTAGCAATATACCCAACCAGGTCGACCTCCTCGCGGTTCCCCCTGGAAACTATCATGGTTAATTCCTGACGAATTCATCATGATGGGCTAACTGGCCTGTTTTCATTCTCATCTATCACCCTTTACTGGTGCTCCGCAAACGTATACCGTTAGCGCATGCGGGGTTACCATACCATTTTCACCCATAAAAAAAACATACTACTTTTAAACAACATACCAATATAAAATATGCAACAGATTTTAAAACCGACTTTCATGAACATAATTGTGAAAATTACATCTAATTTGGTGTAGTCACTTTTGTAATACATCAGAACAAACATAAAAAACGAACAAACAAAATTTCTAAAATATATTAATTTTATTTTATTGCTCTTATTAAGAATCATCATATAATTTTTTTCTAAATACTTCCTATGTACAGACAGAGTCTAGTCACATTTTTATTATATGTATGTAGATCAGACAGTTCACTGTCATTCATTGACAACTACATTTTAATAAATTTACATTGTGAATTAGAAACAAGTTCTACAAAACCACGAAGGTGTGAATTTACTTCTTAATTATTATTTTAACAGAACTTTGTATCATTAAATTCATCATCATATCAGCCTTTAGTTGTCCACTGCTGCTGTAGCCACGCTTGGCAGGCGGATTAGTCACCACAGTCAGGCTTTAGAGATGTTTTAAAGTGGACGCTGCTGCCCATCCCTTACTCTTCTTTATTCGGCTTTTACGACACTCACAGGATGAGAAAGGGTGGCCTATTCTATGCCGGGACCACCCGGCCAAAATGTATACATGAGACATGATTTGAAATTAAATATTTTGTTTTATCAATTTCAGAATCTGAAACGTTTGAGCAATGGATAAACGAATTAAGTAAACTATCAGAAGATAACGTAACCATTATTAATAATATTCTAGATTCGCTATCAGAAGATGATCAAGAACCAGCTATAGTAAAACTAAAATATATTAAAGCCAATATAGAAACTACAACAGAAACAACTATTACAACTTCTGAATTAATTCCAACTGAAGTTACAAATAACATCGAAATTACGACACCTAGTACCGAATCACTGACTACAAAGAGTTCTACTATTGAACCTACGACTACAGCAGAGTTAGTTGTAGAAACAACAACAGCAACACTAGCAACAACAACGGAAACTACCACTAGAACTCCTACCACAGAAACTACCACTAGAACTCCTATCACAGAAACTACCACTAGAACTCCTACCACAGAAACTACCACTAGAACTCCTACCACAGAAACTACCACTAGAACTCCTATCACAGAAACTACCACTAGAACTCCTACCACAGAAACTACCACTAGAACTCCTACCACAGAAATTTATATAGGAGATGCTCAAGAAGTTATAACAACTTAATTAATGAATCTATTATAATAATGCTACTCTAATAATGTTATCAAGAGACTTGCTTCCAAAAATTCTTTGTGCTGGTATTTAATTTTTAAAATAAATTAATAAAAGAAAATATTTTATACTGTACAAGTCAATAGGAATTTAATTAAATTCATGATAGTTGTATAAATATGTTTTATTTCTGTTGGTATAACGGGTTATATTTTTTACAATGTGCCGAAATGATGTATTCTTGTAATCATCAATTAATCAATTAGTTTGTTATTTTCTGTTTATATGAATGTCCAATATCTTAATTGTCACCGGTTATAAAGGTAAAAGGAGAAAAATAAAGGAAGTAGTTCCGACGGAGGTCCGATGATGACATCCGTGTAAAAATATTCTTTCTTCATTAATTTTGTTAATGGTAACAGAAAAATTTTACATGGTCGCCGTGTGGTCCTGACATAGATCAGTCTTCCTCTTACTTTTTTTTTAATGGATGATAATGAAATAGTCACCCCACCTGCGCTAACGGTATACACTGGCGGGGCACCAGTGAAGGGTGATAGGTGACGATGAAAGCAAGCCAGTTAGATCATTGTGACGAATTGCACTAGAATTAACCAAGATGGTTTCCAGGGGGAACCATGTGGAGGTTGACTTGATAGAGTGTATTGCTAGCAATGGGGCAGTTAGACGCCATTACTAACAATCCCTTTCCCCCCGTCTTCCTCTTACTGTCCTGTGGTTATTGTAAAAGATGATTAAGGGAATTTAATCGCCTATTTACGGGCTGCAGCGTCCCTCTTAAAACATTACCAAAGCCGAACTGCGAAGGCTACCCTGCCTGACAAGTGTAGCAACTATTGGCAAAATCCCCTTATAGGTGACGCCTATGTCCAACAGCAAGTAATTAGGGGGAAAGGGATTGTTAGCAATGAAGTTTGACAGCTCCATCGCTAGCAATATCAGGTCGACCTCCAAGTGGTTCTCCCTGGAAACCATCATGAGCAATTCTTGTTGAAATCGAAACGATGGGCTAACTGACCTGCTTCATCCTCACCTATCACCCTTCACTGATGGGGCACCAGGTGTATACCGATGGCGCGGGTGGGGTTGCCATTCCATTATCAGCCATTAAAAAAAACAGCAAGTAATTTATATATAAGTATGGTATCTTTACATGACATAATAATTAAGATTGTGTTGCACAAAAAACCGATTTAAATTTTGACAATAACCAGTTATTTTGGTTTATAAACTAAAGCACTAAATCGTATTTGATAAAATATATATGGGACCAATCTATAATATATCCTTTCGGATGAAAAAAATGAAATTTCTAAATCAGTTTACAACTGACGGGGTAATGAAGTAACAAACATAAAAAAGCACAACTGAGAACCTCCATTTTTTCAAGGCGGTTGAAAATAAACCTTCTAACAATAAGAGCAATACAATAAGAACAGAAAAGAACATCGTTACTCACATAGTCAGACTCGGTAAATAATGATAAATCGATAAGATCAATGTGATAAGAATTGATATAGGATATAGAGGTAATAGGTAATTGACACAATAATGGCGTGTGTTTGGACATATTTAGTTATCTGTGGTCGGTACATGTGGATTGTGAACAGTCGCCGTTCATGGTTGCATTTCGCAAAATAGTTCCTTTGAATGCACTTCAAATGAAAAATAAAATTGAACCTAGCGACGTAGAGAATAGTGTTCTCATATGAAAGTTTATAAAATTTTGTTAGTTTAGAGGATTTTCAACAACTGTAATTAGGCTTTAGTGATGTTTTAAGAGGGACGCTGTTGCCAATTCCTCACCCTACCTTAGTCGCCTCTTATGACTCCCACGGGAACGGAAGGGGTGGCCTATTCTATGCCGGGTCCACGCGGCCATAACGAATTTGATAATAATTAACTACGACGGTTTCCAAAAACCGCATGCAGTTGGTTCTGATAGGGTATATTATTAGCAACGGGGAAGTTAGATCCCATTACTAAAAATCCCTTTCCCCCAGGGCGTGTGAGTTACACTGTAGGAAAAGTTACCACGCGTCATTTTACATCAAGGCAAAACACCCATTTAGTAGTATTCTACTAAATGGGTTACTAAATAAATTAATTCATATCACATGCCAATACAAAAAATCTGTAGCAACAATATTAAGGATTAGTTTGTTTAATTCCACTACCATGATGGTAATAATATAAAAAGAGGAAGAGGAAGACCGAGAAATAACTATATGGGACAGATAAAGGAAACACTAGGCGTCATGTCGTATAGGGAGATAAAGGATATAGCCTGGGATAGAGCTGGCTGGAGGAAGATGCATGAATTAGTTGCACCGACAAGAGGAAACTCTTAAATGATAAAAAAAAGGTAATTATAAAATAACCAGTGATATGAACTTCCGCAAGATAACTTTAGTATAATATCTTTAATATTTACAGAAAGAACATGTGATGATATGTGATCCGTTATTGTATGTTTAGTTAAAATTATTCTCGTAGTTAAGATTCTTATAGTTAATATGCTTTGAGAAACAAGAGACTTGTACGTAGACAGTCTCATTCCATCCAATCACAGTATTTACAACAAAAATCTGAATTAAAACAATACTTTGTTTTAATTAATATATTTCGAGAAGGCAATCCAAACAAATAATGACTTTGTTATATATTGACTAATGTGTATTTTACTATAATGTTATTTGTCAATGTGAACGAACCGAATACATTATTAATTAGCATACAATCATACAGTTCAAGTTCTAATTGCACAATGGGATAACAATGAATTTAACAATAAAAAACGTCACTACGAAAGTATATAAACTTTATAAGTATCAGAAGCATATCATTTACAATCAGGCAACAACGAAGATGACCGCAGCTGACAGTCTTCGTCAGGAGGTTGAAAAGTCCGAAGAAGTTTGTGATATCCAGAGGGATATGAACAAAACAGAATTCACAGACATCCAAAATGGAAAGGACACATTATCAAACATAAATGATATAGCAAAAGAAAACGAAGTCGATCCTAAATATTTAAGCACTGATTATTCATATAAACACGAAATCGTTTGGAAAAATGCCATTGGCTTTTTAATTTTGCACTTATTTGCTGTGTGGGGTGCAGTATTAATGTTCACTGGAGGCGTTACATGGAAAACAACCCTTTGGAGTAAGTTGATTTTTTGCTAATCTATTTGCTAAGTTTCCAGTCATATTTACGTTTAAATAGTGCCAAAAATGTATATATTAGGAAAATCACTCGAAACAAGTAACCTTTTTAAAGGTGTGTTTCAGAGGTGGACAAAAAACATTTTCTATTTATCCATTTTCATCCTAAATCTCTTATTGGGTACCCAGAGTGTACCGAGGGCTAAAAGCCACTCTTTTTTTATTCATCCACTTTCACTTTGGTCTCACGAATATACATCCGAATCGCAGAATTTCGGTTACTTCTTCATACAGGTACAAAACTGTTAGTTTGATCATAACTGATTCTCTCCCTGTATTTACAATATATCCATCTACACATAATGTAACATCTGCTTTGTTAAACTGTTATTTTTTCTTGATAACTTCTTGATCGTTTCTAACTAAACCATTGTTATTCTTTCTTGCAGCGATCTTCTTAGGTTATGTTGCATCAGAGGGTGTCACAATTGGTGCACATCGATTCTACACACACAAATCTTTTAAGGCCAAGCCTCTACTTAAAGTAATATTAATAATCATGCAAACTCTAGCTGGACAGGTTTGTATTAAATTATATATCTTCTATTTTGATCGAACTTTTAGATATTTAGAGCGATTGGTTTCTAAAAAAAATTTTGTTATTTTTTTATAAAAGACACAATTTACGACTATAATACCTAATGGGGTAGTCAGAAGCATTAAGCGACTGTTGTCGTTGTGGTCAAAATATTAATTAATTAAAAACATAGGGGTGAAATTATATTTTATACTATTTTTAGTGATATTTTGTCACTTACTAGCTGTGCATATGACTTCTTTCACATGAGTGGAACTAAATTAAAATTACTAACATTAGAGCAAATAGTATCGTTTGAAAAAAACTTATTGAAATCGGTTTAGAAATAGCGAAGCTATTTATATTATAGATTATAGTCATAAGTACATACACATTATTCTTTTTCTCCTTTTCTATTTTAATATTCATAAAACATACTCGTATATATATATTTTTTAATTTAAAGAACTCCATATTTATTTGGTGTCGGGACCACCGTCTTCACCACCGGTACTCCGACACCGACGCCGACCCTCACAACTCCAAGCGAGGCTTCTTCTTTTGCCACATCGGTTGGTTGATGATGAAGAAACATCCGTACGTCATTGAATTAGGCAAGAGGATTGATATGAGCGATCTACAAGCCGATTGGATGGTCATGTTCCAGAAAAAGTAATTACAGTTTTTTTTTTTATTAATGGTGATAATGAAACGGTAATCCCACCTACACTATTGGTATTTGCTGGAGGCGTATCAGTGACGGATCATAGGTGATGATGAAGTCTGTTGATGAATTAAACACGATTCCTTCCAGAGGAATTTATTTGCAGTGTGGTTGTGACATGAAATGGGCCATTCCTTCCTTTCCCGTAGGTATCCTAAAAGGCGACTTTTTTTTTACAACACAGGGGGCAAACGAGCATGCGGCTCACCTGATGGTAAGTGACTAAGGGAATTTAATGGTCGAAGGGCTGGACAGTAGCGTCCTTCTTAAACATCATCAAAGCTAACTGGCGTTGTCAACCCGTCTGCCAAGCATGGCTTCTATTGACAAAACCTCCTTTTGTAGGGGAGACCTATGTTCAGCAGTGGACAGTAAACGGCTGAAATGATTATTATTTTCAGAGGAACCACGTGGTCGAAAATCGACCTGATTTGGTACATTACGTTATTAACAATCCTCTTAATTTTGATATTATACAAACAAGCATACGGCTCGTTCCATGAAAAACGGAATTACCGCAACCTATGGACCCCTGTAACACCAGTAGCATGGGGGGAAAGGGATTGTTAGTAATGGAGACTGAGAATTGCTATTGCTAGCAATATACCCAACCAAGTCGACCTCCTCGCGGTTTTCCCTGGAAACTATCATGGTTAATTCCTGATGAATTCATCATGATGGGCTAACTGGCCTGTATTCATTCTCATCTATCACCCTTCACTGGTGCTCCGCCAGCGTATCCTGTAAACGCAGGCGGGCTACCATACCATTATCACCCATCAAAAAAAAAAACACCAGTACCGTCACGCGTGCGTTGCCGACCCTTGAGAAAGCTTAATACGCACTTTTTGAAGAACCCCATGCTGTTGTCTCTAGGGAAAGCCTCAGTAGGAAGATTATGACCACAACCTGAGTGTGATGAATTAAAATGTAAATTTATCAATTTACTTTTCAGATATTATTATTACTTATACGTAATTTTTGCCATAATCATTCCCGTGTGGGTACCAGTACATTACTTCGGAGAGCCGCTGTTCCAATCGATTCTGACGGCTTACTTCACTCGCTATGTATCACAGTTGAATGGAACTTGGCTTGTAAATAGTGCTGCCCACTTATATGGTACAAGGCCTTATGACAAGTAAGTACAGGTTTTTTAAAATAATGAAAATTGTATGATCACCCCGCTTGTGCTACCGGTATACTCTGACAGGACACCAGTGAGAAGTGATAGGTGAGGACGAAAGCAGTTCGGTTGGCCCCTCATGTTGAATTTAACAGAACTTAACAACGATAGTTTTCAGAACCCCATGGAGGTCAACCAGTTAGGATATATTGTCATCAACCCTTTCCTAGTAAATAAATGTTAGTACACCGCAATTTTGTGTATAATTATGATATTGTTCATATATTAATTACTAGCGCCTCGCCTTAGTTCCGTATGGATTCAATATACATACAAACCTTCCAAACATGCAAGTTGCTTTGTGCAGTGACATGAGTGGGACAGAAGCATCCTTATATACATATTATACGGTCGAAAATTAGTCATTCGCAGTTTGGTTGCCGAGCGGTTGACATTCGGCTTCGAGCAGCGATCTAATAATTTGCCTGAAAATGCTTGGTTTAAATAATATAATAAATACGTGTCGCGAAACGTGCGTGGATAAAATGGCAGTCGGAAATTGAAGGCTTATATAGAAAAATCTTATAGTTTATAGTGATGGTCAATCTTCGACATCTTCGGTCCCATTAACATCTAAAAAACTTGGTAATATATATGATTTTACGTCAGTTAATAACAATATGTATGTATATAACATAAAATCATAAAAAGTTAAGTATCCCTACTCATTATGTTTAGGTTATCTAGCTAACAGCAACACCTAGAATGAATTTTACATTAATTATAATTTTAAACAGAAATCTTCAACCCGTGGAGTCCTGGTTTGTTTCCTGTATAAGCTTGGGTGAGGGATGGCATAACTACCACCACGCGTTCCCCTGGGACTATAAGGCTGCTGAGCTGTCCATGCACTTCAATCAAACGGCGAGCATCATAAGATTCATGGAGAAGATCGGCCTCGCTTACGATCTGAAAACCGCTTCCCCAGAAATGGTATTGAAATATTTTTAATTTAATCACCCTGTATATTTTGATGTCCTTCGCAGGCGCAGTAAGTATAACGTTTTGCGTAAATGAGGTCCGGATTCAGATATCGAAGCGTGGAGCAATTTAGAAAACTTTTTCCAAATTGACACGAGTTTGGCTGTTGTTCTGGGTTATGATTTTAGATGACCATTGTCTGGTAAACCATAACAGGTTATGTAGCTTGAGAACCACGCAAATAGTACGACTGCATGGTATTTATTATTATATTTTATAATAATCTCTGTAATAAAGGGATTAATTTCCAGCTTGGATTCCTATGTATTTACTGAGTAACGATACATTCTGATATTTCTATTCGCAAACACAAGAATAAAAAAGATGGATTGTTTTTGGCAAAGCATGCATTCTACGCCGTGTGGTCTCGACATAAGAAGGGCCACCTCTCTCTTTTCCGTGGGCGTCGTAAGAGGCGAATAAGAGAATTTAATAGTCGAGAGATGAGCAGCAACATTCTTCTTTAAACATCACCAAAGTCTAACTGCGGTTGCCAATCCGCCGGCTAAACCTGGCAACTACTGGCCTTTCTTATGTGGGTGGTCTATGTTCAACAGTGGAAAGTTAACAGCTGATGTGATGACGATGATGATATATATTGGGACAATCTATTAGGAGTTCATATAACAAAATTTAAAACCAAAATGTTGTACCAAAACTAATGAGTTATTTTGACAATTACAGGTGAGAAATAGAATAATAAGGACTGGGGATGGAACTCATTATGAACTTGGTGACGAGGAAAGTAGGAACGCAGTGAAAGCCAGGGGTCTCCTACATCCGTTGAACCCGAGCTACACAGTGACGTACAAAGACCCAAAAGCCACCCTCAAGATGGAGGGACTTCCTCTGTTCAACGAAAAAGATGTATTTGATGCAAATGTTTTCATAAGAAATGTAGGCAGTCGTTAAATACTTGTTAGTTCTAGATGTAGGTAGATTGTTACTTTCATACATTTATTAAATTATATATTTTTTTTATTTTGTACTTTTTTTTTTATTCTTTATTTTCGTTTACAGTGCCTGAATCAGTTAAATAGTAATAATAACTTATTATTATTAAGCATACAATAACTAACACTCATTTCGTCATAGTCGTAAAATACTGACGGATCTGACAAAGATTACATATAAAGATCCGTCAGTATTCTACGACTATGACGATTTATGGAAGCGAATTGTAGGTAAAGTAGAAGAAGCATGAAAATAATAATTTAATTATATTTTAATATTTTAATGTTTATCAAACACAAGGCATGCTGGGTTGCCTATAAATGTAAGAACAGTTAGATCTAATCTACCAGTGTATTGTATTAAAATGTTTAGCTGTATCTTGTATTGGTAATCCTATAAATAAATAAATGAGGTAAATGCTGTAAAGATTCACCAGAGGAAGACTTTGTACAAGAGTCGTTTGCTTAGGCACCTTTGTCCTATTCGTGTTTCTACTGTGAAGCAGTTGTGTCTGCATGGCTGTGTTTCGGTTTGAAGGGTGGGATATGGCATTCCATTTACAGGGTACACCTGAGTGAGGGGGGAAAGGGATTGTTAGTAATGGAGACTGAGAATCCCATTGCTAGCAATATAACCGACCAGGTCGACCTCCTCGCGGTTCTCCCTGGAAACTATCATAGTTAATTCCTGATGAATTCATCATGATGGGCTAACTGGCCTGTTTTCATTCTCATCTATCACCCTTCACTGGTGCCCAGCCAGCGTATCCCGTTAGCGCAGGCGGGGTTACCTTACCAATTTCACCCATCAAAAAATATATATATATGTTATAATAAGATATTGTGTAATACACTCAGCGTACGAAAAGAAAATTCCCTTTTTTTCATAGTCGGTAACAAAACAATGGCAGTGAGCCATTTTCGGCTATTACAATACAGGGGTTCTAACGGGCTATTAATTCGAAACGTTCCCTACATAAATTCCCCCGAAGGTCAAGGACGCGCGGGCAGGACTAGACAAGGGTTGCCCCTTTTATGATAATTTAACTGATTTTATAGAGGTTAAGTAATTTAATTTATTATCAACTATTTTTTTTAATTCCATAACTACTTAAGACTTTAGGGGAATAAGAACATCAGTTTAAATACTAAAATAGGACTATAGAAAAATCATGTATTAAAAAGTATCAAATAAGAAAAAAAATGTTATCTAAAGTTTTAAATACAAACTAATATTTATTTATTGTTTACTAGCTGTATCCCGTGTCTTCGCCTGCGAAGATCAGTATTCTACATAAATGTATGTAAGTTAAGCAAACCTACCAAATATCATTTAAAACCGGTTTAGTACTTTTTACGTGAAAGAGTAACAAATATCCATCTACCCATTCTTACACTTTCGTATTTATAATATTAAAGGGATTATAAATTATTTTTGTTCATTAAACAAATGACATACATAGTTACACATAATGTTCAGAGAATAGTCGTGGGCAATATCCAAAAAGATCTTTTATATTTACACTCCTTTCTGATCTATGGATCTATCGGATCACCAAAATTACAGGCTAATAAAATAACCTTCAAGAAAAGAGTATATTCCTTTTTAAAAGGCCGGCAGCACACCTGCAATGCCGCTGGTGTTGTGGGTGATCATGGGCGGCGGTAGTCACTTACCATCAGGTGAGCCGCATGCTCGTTAGCCGCTGTGTTGTAAATAAAAAAATAAGAAAAAAGCAAAATTATGCAACCTCTATTTCTCTATCTGAATTAATGCACAAGTTATATATTCTTAAAGTAGATATTTAAAAAAAAATAAGATTAATAAAATAAACATTAATTGAGATAAATCGATAATATCCCCTTTTTATAGCATAATGTGTTAATTTTTTTCCCCAATTTTTTTACCTATTTTCACCTGGCAATCATAGGCTGCAGCTAACAGAGAGCAAGCGGGGCGAAAGGGATTGTTAGCAATGGGGTTTGACAGCCCCAATGCTAGCAATATGCCTTATTAGGTCGTGGTTCCCCCTGGAAACCATCGTGAACAATTCTCGTTGAATTCGTCACGATGGGCTAACTGACCTACTTCATCCTCACCTATCATCCTTCACTGGTGCCTCGCCGGTGTATACCGACAGCGCGGGTGGGGTTACCATTGCATTATCATCCATTAAAAAAAAAAACTGAGAGCAAGCAACAAAAGTGTTTTGTATTATATTTTTATTCAGCTTGTTTTTCATTTAAAACAAGTTTCATTAAAAAGTTTTATACATGTAAAATTCAGCGGCGAGATCTTAGGCTCTAAAACTGTTCCAAATTTCAAATTAATTGCATAAGTAGCTGCTGAGCTATAGCATTATGTCTGACGGATGGACGTACGCTTGATTTCGCACTTTTGTACATTGTATATAAGAGTTATTTTACCTTTTTCGCACGATATTCTAAAAATCTATTACTTTATTTCTACGTAATGCCATTTTAATTGACAATTTTTTTAGACAATTTCACAACGATACAACAGGCATTATTTTTTATGACGAGTAATTACATTATTTTTTTGAAGGTAGTGGTAGCCCTATTCACATCTCGAGGGGCGGAAAGGTCAATATTTACAAATGCAAATACTGGTAATAACATACCATACATAATTACATACTGATACCATAATGTAGTATAAAATGAGTAAATTTAAATATAACAGAATATATAATAATATTCTAGTTAGGTAATGGAGTCATAATAAAAAAAGGTTTAGAAATTTTACATATTCATATATAAAAATAGGATAAAAAATTTGTATATTTGTGTAAATAATTAATGCAAAAATAATTCAAAAAACAAAATGCATCGACCGGGAATCGAACCCGGGCCGCCCGCGTGGCAGGCGAGCATTCTACCACTGAACCATCGATGCTTCAGAAATTAGTTTGAAATTAACATAAAGATTCTACAAGTGAATTAGTGGAAAAATAATTCATAAGGTGTTTTTTAAATATGTATTTAAAAATTCTATTATTTTTAAACTATATTTACAAAGATTATCTTCAAAATCTCTCGTTTAATATACATAAATTTTAAATATCAATTTCTGGTTTCCTTTGTCCCCCACAGACATTATAAAATTAAAATATTACAAAAAAAAATTAATAATAATAATAAAGAAAATAAAATTAAGAAATATAAAGATATATTTTATTTATTACAGTTAAATAATTTCTTATTTTCTCGAAAGTTCCTTATCGGTAAAAAACTTTGTTTCTTTTATTTTATAATACATTTTTAGACGACTGAATAAGGCAATTTATTCTGTGTGCCGTATGTAGTAACTAGTAACGGTACCGGTAATATGTCCATAATGTTGCTTTTGTCACTAATAATTGTCTGTAGACGACAGTTCCCACTTTCCATCACGTAGGCCATTCCTAAAGATCTATACACACGCTTCAGAGCTGACATGGCGTGATTAATGCTGTATTCATCACAAATAACATTAATAAGTATTTGTGTTAATAAATATTCTCTGCTGGAGAATGATGTCAAAGGGAAATTTATAATTTTGCCTTTTATTCATAAAAGTTAAAATCTTCTACAAATTTATTTTAACTATTACACTGTTTTGTCACTTTCTTTTTTGGAAATTAGAAACTTAGCACAAAAGAAAGAGACAAAATAGTTCAATAGCTAAAATAGATTTATGAGACGTTTGACATTTTTATGAACAAAGGGTTAAGAATGTATTTGAGTATATTGTGTAAGTGGTTGGCGAACAGAGACGAAAAAAACGTTATATAATGCCATTTAAGTACCTACAATTACTGATAAAATATCGATACAATCGTAGTCGAGTTTTACAGGATATTATTATATCACTGGTAGATCTAGTTCTCGAATTTTAAAGTATTCTTTAGAAAATAACTTAACTGAGAACGCCGATGTTACTATGATTATTATATTGACATTATTGACCATAAAATAATGAGAAATATGGATATGTGTTAGTGGGTACTAATGTGTGTGGATAGGGCTTTATTAGTTGATTTGTTTGTCATTCCAAGTGAAGTCAGAAACCAATGTTATCCAATAAGATAAGATTAAATATTATATCGATTATTAAAATTAAGTAGGCACCTATTTAATGCTTAAAAATATTGTGCCCCACAAAAACAGATTTCAATTGTGTCAAAACCAGTGATTTTGATTCAAAAACTAAACCACTGAACCGATTTTGATAAAATTTCTATATGACCAATTTGTAAGTATATCTTTTTATATAAAAAAAAATCATCCAAATCGGTTTAGAACTGACGGAGGTATGAAGTAACAAACATAAAAAAAATAGAACCAAATTGGGAACCTCTTTCTTTTTGAAATTGGCTGAAAATATGAATCGTTATGAGACAATATGAGTATGGCTGGGTTTTTCAACTAAACAGGTACGTTCAATTGAAATTATAGTTAGGCTCTTACTAGGTGAGTATATTTGAACAAATGATATTGTAAATATCTGATTAGTATTTACATTGTTCATGTGTGAAAATAGATGAAAATAGAACAAAATGCCGGTTACATGTACATACAATGTTCGGCGCAAACAAAGAAAAACATGCATAATACATACGGTGGATAGCCGTTCAATGGTGTGTACCTGCTTAACTAACCAAGTGTGTATTGATACAGGTGTAGTATAGAATTTAGATTATGTCAACATAAGGTTCGTTTACACTATAAAATACTATAGTAATATTTCAGCAATATCTGTGGAATAGTTTTGTGCTTTACTTTCAAATATAATCGCTAGATGTCGCTACCTAATATGTATGCAAAATGGAATGGCGTCAACTTAGCAGCTGATCGACCGCTTCGTGTTCTGCACCTGACGCATGACCTGCGACCGGTCGTTCGCGAAGTCGCTCGACTCGACAAGCGATTCGTTAAACGTTGTGACTCAGTCAGTCGCGGACTCGCTTTGCCGCGTGTTGACGTATCGACGAATGTATCTGTCGTCCAATCATATTTGTTTATTTATAA